ATTTTGTCCTTTCTTTGGTGTACAACTTAATGGTATCAGTTATACTCATCAAGTTGTGCAACCACTACCCTTAATCAATGCCAATTTTCCCATCACCATAAACATAAACTCATTACTTCCCAGAGAATAATTCCCCTTCTCCTTCCTCCTGCCCCAGGTAACCACTAACAGCCATTGGTCTAAATATATTTACTTATTCTTGTCTTTTCATCCAAGTGCGATCATACAGTATTTGTCCTTTTGTGATTGACTGATTTCACTCAGCATAATGTCTTCGAGGTCCAACCATGTATCAGGACTTCATTTCTCTTTACAGTTGAGTAGTATTCCATTGTGTGCATGTACCACATTTTGGTTATCCCATTCATCTGTTGATGGGCACTTAGGTTGTTTCCATATTTTTGCTATTGTGAATAGTGCTGCAATGAACATAGATGTGCTTCTGTCTGTTTACATTGCTACTTTTAGGTCCCTAGAGTATATGATTCATCTTTCTTTATATCTCCCAAGATGCAAGGCTTTACACATCCTACTTGGAAATTTCAGAGACATTTCACACTCAACATGTCCAAAATGGAACTCTTCTTTCCCCCAAACTTGTACTTCTTCCAGGTTTTCCTATCAATAACTACGGCCTCCATTCCCCAATTGCTCAAGTCAGATACCTGGGAATCATCTTTCACACCTCCCCTAAAAATCCACTCCATCACCAAGTCCTATTTATACAAAATGTATAAACCTACATTTTCCACGAACTTCAAGGATACCATTTCTGTTATTTAGAACAGGAGCTGGCCAAACTATGGTCCGGGGGCCAAATCCAGTCCACCGCCTGCTTTTGTACAACTTGTGGGCTAAATTACTTTTTTAAATGGTTGAAAATAATCAAAATAATATTTCATGGCACATGAAAAATTACATGATATTCAAATTTCAGTGTCCATAAATAAAATTTTATTGGAACACAGCCATGCTTATTTGTTCAATTACTGTCTGTGGCTGCTTCTGTCCTACAGTGGCAGAGCTAAGTACTTGTGACAGAGACCACTTGGCTTGCAAAGCAAAAAATATTTACTGTCTGGTCCTTCACAGGAAAAATCTGCCAACCTCTGATCAAGATTACCAGCAATAGCCTCTAAATGCCATCTTTTCTCCAGTCTTGCGTCCTTCAAATCCACTCTGTAGCTAACAGGAAGAATATACTTTTAATAAGGCAAATTTTATCAGTTTACTGCCTGCTTAAAATTCTTTTATCACTTCCATTACACCTAGAATAAAATCCAAACTTCATGAACAGAACCTGAATCCCTAACCTCATCCCACACCATCCTCCTCTTCCTGTTTCCCTCCCTCAAGAGGCTCAGGCCAAACTGGTCTTCCACCAGCTCTTTGACCATATGTGTTATGGATTGAAATGTGTCCCCCCAAAATATGTGTTGTAAATCCTAACTCCTATATCTGCAGATGTAATCTCATTTGGGAATAGGGTTTCTTTGTTATGTTAATGAGGCCAGATCAGTGTAGGGTGTGTCTTAACTCAATCACGTTTGAGATATAAAAGGAAGAGATTAGGCACTGAGAAGTACAGATGGGGGAAGATAGATGCCACGCCACATGAAGATCACCAAGAAAGAGACAAGTTCCTTTCTTCCCCCAGAGCTGACAGAGAGAAAGCCCTCCCCTAGAGCTGGTGCCTGAATCTGAACTTCTACCTTCCCCTAAACTGTGAGAAAATAAATTTCTGTTTGTTAAAGCCATCCACTTGTGGTATTTCTGCTATAGTAGCACTAGATAACTAAGACAACATGCTTTTCTACTTTATACTTTTTCAAATGCTGTTCTCTCAGTCTTTGGCTAGATAACTTCAACTCATCATTAAGATCTCAAATCAACTGTCTTCTAAAAGGTCTTGCTTGATTATGCTAATCTACACTGTCTCTTGGTATTCCTTTCTTCAACATTTTTCATAATTACACACGTTTATTGTTTATTTTATGTTTGTATCCCCCCCACCCCACCCCGTAAGCTCCTTGAAGGCAAAGACCATGTCTATTTTGATTACCACTGTGCCTCTAGCATAGGTCTGACATATAGTAGGAATTTAAAACGTATTTGTGGAATGAATGACTGAAGGTTGAATAGACAGCTTATACAAGAATGGTGATTCACTCATCCATTCCACAAATATTTATTGAACACTTATTATGTGCCAGATCCTGGAGATATAACAGCAAAGAACACAAAATTCCTGCCCTTGGGAAGCTTACTTTCTAGGGGGTAAGACAGATATTATACAAACACATATATAAAATAATGTCCGTTAAGTGTTATGAAGAAAAAAATAACTGATGCCGCTATTTTAGATAAGGTGGTCAGGTAAAGCTTCTCTGAGATCACACTTGAGCAGAGACCTGAACAAACTGAGACAATGAGCCATGAAATACTTGTGTAAAGAGCATTTTAAGCAGAAGCAATAATAGGTACAAAGGCTCTGAGTCCAGAACTTCCTCGCTGCACTGGGCTGGATGAATAGTAAGAAGCTCGGCAGGGCTGCAGTGAAGTGAGGGAAAGAGATGAGGTCAGAGAGCAGAGAGGCCATGTGGGTCCTGGCAAGGACTTTGGATTTTATTATAAATATGATGGGAAGTCACTAGAGAGCTGGGCAAGAGCTTGATACAACTGACTTATGTCTTAAGACAATTACTCTAGCTGCTGTGTGAGGAATAAAGAGACTGTAGGAGGATGAGGAGAAACAGAGGGCCAATTAGGAAGCTACTACAGTTGTTCAGGCTAGAGAGAAAACTTAGTGGCTTGGACGAGGGTGGAGTTGCTAAGTAGTCAGGGATTCTAAACATATTTTAAAGGTAAATGAAGTAGATGTGAGAGAAGAGAGTCACAAATTACTGCAAAATATTTTGCCTGAGTAAACTGGGTGAGTAGTGGTGTCAGGCGCTTAGGAGGGAGACTACCATTTACTGTGTCCCAAGCTCAGATTGAATGTTACATTTAGATGCCTATTAGATATTCAAATGGAGATGTCTAGAAGGTAGTTGGATATATGTGTCTACAGTTGAGAGGAAAGTTAGGGTTCTTTCATTTAATCTTTTAACAATCTTGTAAGCTAAATAATATTTTCTGTATTTTATGTGGGGAGCTCTAGGGGTGAAATGGTTAAGGGCTCAGCTGCTAACTGAAAGGTCAGTGGTTTGAAACCACCAGCGGCTCCAGTGGAGAAAGATGTGGCAGTTTGCTTCAGTAAAGATTACAGCTTTGGAAACCCCAGGGGCAGTTCTACTCTGTCCTATAGGGTCACTAGGAGGAGGAAACTGGCACCCAGATCACTTACATGGCTTATTTAACGTCACCAAGTATAGAAGCAGTGGAGCCAGGGTTTGAATCAATCCTGTTTGACTCCAAAGCTGTGATTCTTTCCACCATATTTCCTCCTTACCATATATATACACCTTGTACCCTCGATTTGAAGTTTAAAGATAAGCAGGCTCCCCTCCCAACCCAAATTTAAAAACTCCACGATTACAAGTTTCCCTTGGCTCCAGCTCTACTCTAGATAAGAATGGCATGAGAAAGAAGTCACACTACCTCAAGTTCTTATGCAAAACCAGTGGCATATATGTACACATACTCACAAAAATATTAGATCATTAATAACTTAACAGGAGACAAAAACAATGGGACAAACTGAATTCTGCAAGGCTTTGCATCAATAATTACGCATTATTTCTAAAATTTAGGAAAAAAGGAAAGGCTATACAAATGACACAGGTAGATCAGAGCTTCATCTCAAAAACCACCTAGCTCAGGTTAGTTTGTGTCCTGGAAAACATTAGGAAAAAAGCAAGAAGATACTGTACTCAGATTAAAAAAAAAAAAGTGGTAGCCAAACAGATCAAGCCACAGCTTGCTTGCCGAAAGAGTGATCAACAACTTGTCTCACAGCAGGCCAGAAAACGTTACCTTTACAATATGATCTGGGATCTCCACTCAAAATTTTGAAAGACGACTTGCTGATTGTCTTCAACAATTCTCCAATACCACTCTTCTCCAATACCACTCTTCCTAGACGTTTTCCAAAGAACAGGGACTATGCTGCATAATTCACATGGACAGACTCAACTGTTCTATTCCGCCTAGCCTGGGAAGATTTCAACTACCTTTCTTCACTGTGGACACACGGACCTAAATTTGGCTCTGAGAATATCCTTTGTTTCCCACCCAGGTTTGGCTTCCAGGAACAGCATCGGCAAGTAAGGCATTGAAAAATTGACCACACACCACTTCCCTCCTAGGTAAATCTGACTGATCCCGAAATACGCAGCTCCATCCGGATTCAGATCTTGTATCTTTCTTCCAACTTACATTGTCCCGAGCCCTCTCCTCAGATAGGCACTCAGCTCGAGATGGAAACAGAGACCAGAAATGGAGCCTCCAAATCCAACCGTTCACTCCGCTCCGAGACCGAATTCTCCCTCGTCTCCAGCCTGAGCGTAGACAACTTCAGCTGTCGACCTCGACCCCCGGTCCCAGTACAGACTCACGGGTCCCAGGCAAACCCGCTGGGACACACCGGGCCGGCATACTCCTCGGACCCTGACCACTACCGGAGCAGGGAGGCGACAGACCTGTCCGCACAGTGACAAACACGACGACGCACAGACCACGCACACAAACACACATCCCTTGTCCCCAAAAGAGACTGTACCCTGCTTGCAGCGCTGCTTCCCCAGGCGGCGGTGGGAGGGGTGCTTAGGGGTCGCGGACCCCGCCTGGGCTCGGCCACTCCCACGGATCTTACCTGGAGCCGCCCAGCTGCTGCCGCACAGCCCCAGCCCGGCCCCTTCTGATTGGCTCAGCAGCAGTCCGCGTACATTCGCTTCCGGGTGAGAGTGGCGGGTCTCCTTAGCAACCAAACCGTACCTAGTGCTCCGCTGTGCTAGTGAGGGTGTGGTCCCCTTCAGGCCGCAGAGCTGGCGGCCCCGGCGGGATTGCGAAGTCCCGAAAGTCTCTCCACCATCCCTCTGTCAAGTGAGTGCCCTTCTTCCAACGCCCCGGGCGAGGAAGGGCTCCTTTAGTAAAACCCGCGTTGAGCCAGAGCTCGGCCCCTGGTAACTGTTACATGGGTGTGACATATTTCCTGAGCGTCTACAAGAGGCAGGAGTTCGGGGGAGGGGGGAAGGGGAAAGCGGACGAAGAGACCCGGATTTTAGCTATGATCCTGCCATTCATTAGCTGCTGTGGTACTTTAGGCAAATGCCAACCTCTCTGGGCCTCAGTTTCCCCTGTGGAGCTAGACGGTCTGGATCTCTGAGATTCTCTTAGCTCCAACATTCCAAAATTTCGAATGTGGAACCCCTAAGGACATTTGAAAACAATTTGATTTTTTATGTGATTAACTTAGTGCTCTGCTTAATAAGCATTTAATGACTGCTTTTCAAGTGCCAGAAACCCTGGTGATGTAGTGGTTATGTGCTACTGCTGCTAACTAAAGGGTCGGAAGTTCAGATCCACCAGGCGCTCCTTGGAAACTCCATGGGGCATTTCTTTTCTGTTCTGTAGGGTCGCTATGAGTCGGAATCCACTGGACGGCAATGGGTTTTGGGTTTTCAGGTGCCATTGATTCACTTAGTACTCTTAGTGTACCAAGCACTGAGCTGGACAGAAGGGTGAGAAAAGATGACTAATCCACCATTCCCGTCCTGGGGCCCCAGATGTGATAGGGAATCCTCATCAAAAAAGCTTTACATTTCATAGAACTCTAAGTGTATTGGAGTTCCTGGATGGCAAAAAAGTTAAGAGCTTGGCTACTAACCAAAAGGTTGGTGGTTGGAATCCACCCAGAGGCACCTCAGAAGAAGGACCTAGCAGTCTACGTCCAAAAAATCACAGCCCTTGAAAGCCCTGTGGAGCACAGTTCTACTCTGATACACACGGGGTCCCCATGAGTCAGCCAGTTCAGAAGAGGACATGGAACGAGAGATACCATTACTGATGACAGATGGATCTTGGCTGAAAGCAGAGAATACCAAAAAGATGTTTACCTGTGTTTTATTGACTATGCAAAGACATTCGACTGTATAGATCATAACAAATTATGGATTACGTGGTGAAGAATGGGAATTCCAGAACACTTAATTGTGCTCATGAGGAACTTGTACATAGACCAAGAGGCAGTCATTTGAACAGAACTAGGAGATAGTTCCTGGTTAAGGTCAGGAAGGGTGTGCATCAGGGTTGTATCCTTTCACCATACTTATTCAATCTGGTATGCTGAGCAAATAATCCAAGAAGCTGGACTGTGTGATGAAGAGTGCATCATCAGGATTGGAGGAAGATGCGTTAACAACCTGCGATACGCAGATGACACGACCTTGCTTGCTGAAGTGAAGAGGACTTGAAGCACTTACTGATGACAATCAAGGACTACAGCCTTTGGTATGGATTACACCTCAGCATAAAGAAAACAAAATCCTCACAACTGGCCCAATAAACAACATCATGATAAACAGAGAAAATATTGAGTTTGTCAAGGATTTCATTTTGCTTGGATCCCCAGTCAATGCCCATAGAAGCAGCAGTCAGGAAATCAAATGACGTATTGCATTGGGAAAATCTGCTGCGAAAGACCTCTTTAAAGTGTTAAAAAGCAAAGATGTCACTTTGAGGACTAAGGTGAGCTTGACCCAAACCATGGTATTTTCAATTGCCTCATATGCACGTGAAAGCTAGACAATGAATAAGGAAGACAGAAGAAGAATTGACACCTTTAAATTATGGTGTTGGTGAAGAGTATTGAATATACCATAGACTACCAGAAGAACCAACAAATCTGTCTTGGAAGATGTACAACCAGAGTGTTCCTTGGAAGCAAGGATGGTGAGACTTTGTCTCACATACTTTAGACATGTTACCAGGAGGGACCAGTCCCGGGAGAAGGACATCATGCTTGATAAAGTAGAGGGTCAGCAAAGAAGTGGAAGACCCTCAAAGAGGTGGACTGACACAGTGGCTGCAACAGAGGGCTGAAGCATAGCAGCAATTGTCAGGATCGAGCAGGACTGGGCAGTGTTTCAGTGTTTCATTCTGTTGTACGTGGGGTGGCTATGAGTTGGCACCGACTCAACAGCACCTAACAATAACAACAACCCCATGTGTCAGGAATAACTTGAGGACAGCTGGTTTAAGTACTATATTGGGGATAAACTCAGTGCTGTGGGCTCTTAGAGAAGTCTGGGGGGGAGGGGAGATAAGAAGAAAGGCTTCATGAGAGAGAGAGTGCCTGAGTTAAAGCTAGACTACAAGAAAAAGATAGCTAGTCTGTACAGAGTTAGACGCTGGCCTAAATGCTTTACATGGATTAGCTCATTTACTTAATCTGCCTCATCTAAAAGCAAGGAGGCTGAGGCATAGAGATCTAAATAATTTGTCCAAGGCCAAAGAAGATGGTGGAGTCTGGATCCAAACCTAGGCAGTCTGGTGCCAGAACCAAAAACCTACTGCCATCGAGTTGATTCCATCTCATAGTGACCCTATAGGCTGTAGATGTCAGAAATGAAACCCCTGACTACTAAACTCTTTTTTCCAACTCCCAAGAAGACTACCAGTTAACCAGTCAAAGAGAAGGATGTGCCAGGCAGACAGAACAGCAAGGAAAATGTGGAGAGCTACAAGCCAATTTGGCAATCTAGTTAGTATCATTAGTTAAACACTTAGAAAGCAGTTCTGTGTCCCTGCCCCCTTGGAACTTCTAATCTTGCAGACATGTGAGTAACTAATTTATGAGCACACATGGCAGTCTGTGCATACCTCTACATTTCATCCTTCATCTACAAACAAACCTTAGAAACTGTAGGAAAAAAAATGAAACAAACATATCTAAATTTATAGTTTTCTAAGATTTAGTGTTAATTGGTATCAATATTTAACCCCTAAACAAGATCGGAACTCTAGCAAGTTTACTCTCTACCCTTCACACCATTTCCGTATTGATACCATCTCAATTTTAGCTACAGATTCTATTTTAAAACTTAATAATAAATACATAACAATAAAAACAACAGTATTTAACATCAAATATTTTCTTAACAATAAATAAAAGTATCATGTTACTAATTGGTTTGTTCCTCATTTAGTTTTCATCTTCCTATTTTCTCCTGGATTAATTTTTCTCCTTGTTAAAGTACATTTTCTAGTATGTCTTTCAGAGAGAAGCATAGGTACTAAACTCTGAATTTAGTCATCTCAAAAAAAAAAAAAAAAATCCTTAGTTTCCATCATTTCAGATTAATAATTTGGTTGCAAGTAGAATGTTAAGTTCAAAATTTTCCCTCAGAATTTTAAAGATACCATACCATTTTTTTCAGCATCCACTGTTGCTGATGTCAGTCTGATTCTTCCTTTCTAGATAGTTTTTTGTTTGTAGGTTATCTGTTGTTTTCTTTGCACTTTCTTTCTGGGAAAATTTTTCAACCTGATCTGGTTCACTAATTACTTTTCAATTATATCCATTCTACTATTTGGCCCATCTATTGAAGTTTTATTTAATCAATTATATTATTCATTTCTTGCTTGCTAATTGGTTCTTTTTCATAACCACCTGTTCCTATTTCAAGGATAATTTACTTTCCCTTTCTCTCTGTGGATGTTACAATACTTTAAAGTCTTCTTCTTATTGTGTTAATAACTCTGCTTCCTCAGAAAGAATGAGCCTCCAACCTTTCTCAACTGGCACCTAATTTAAAATATCAGTTCCCTTGCCACACCCATAGTGATTCTGATTCAGTAGATTTGGGGTAGGGCCCAGGAATTTACAAGCACCCCAGGTAATTCTCATTTGCAGAACACACTTGGCATAACATTCTATTTGACCCTACTACCCTAAAAGTTTACTTATCCATTCTACATACATGTTTTCTTCCGTGTTGGAAAAAAAAATTGATTCTAATTTTTTAGTCCCCTGAATGGCAAAGGGCTTTGAGACACAGATACCCCTAGTCTTGTGGTCTTTTTTCTTCCTTTTTTATCTGGTCTACATTCCAGTCTCATTCAGTTTGGACCCCTTACCTCCCCCTCCCCCTTATTATGTTTTTAAAACTTTTTCTATTTCCTCCTGCTGCCAGATCAGAGATTCTCCATTCCATTTTACTTACCTCTGTGAGATAATCAAATAGATCATACCGGCTACCTGTTATGGATTGAATTGTGTACCCCCAAAATGTGAGTCAACTTGACTAGGCCATGATTCCCAGTATTGTGTGATTGTCCACCATTTTCTCATCTGATGTCATTTTCCTATGTGTTGTAAATCCTACCTCTATGATGTTAATGAGGCAGAATTAGAGGCAGTTATATCAATGAGTAAGGATTCAATTTACAAGATTAGGTTGTATCTTAAATCCATCTCTTTTGAGATATAAAAGAGAGAAGCCAGCAGAGAGACGTCATGGGGACCTCATGCCACAAAGAGAGTAGTGCCAGGAGCAGAGCATGTCCTTTGGACCTGGAGTCCTTGCACTGAGAAACTGCTAGACTGAAGCAAGATTGATGACAAGGACTTTCCTCCAGAGCTGACAGAAAGACTTCCCCTGGAGCTGGTGCCCTGAATTCGGACTTCTAGCCTACTAGAGAATAAACTTCTGTTTGTTAAAGCTGTGGTGTGATAAATTACTTAGTATGGCCTTTCTTGCCATGGTCTTGTAACTCTCACCCAAGTAATTGGGCAGGACTCTGCAAATAAGATAATTCTGGCTCACCAAGGGGATTGATCAGTTTTGCTTTAAAAAAGCCAATTCCAGAGCAGAGAGAAGAACCCACCACCACCAAGCCAGGAGAGACCGGCAGGAGAGACCCACAAGAGAGACCTACAGGAGACGGCACAGTAGACTTCCTGGCCCATGGAGCGAGAGAGCTGAGCGCCTGTGGGCAGAGACTGAGGATCCAGAGAGAAGTCTACTCCTGACCCATGAATTTGAGACTTGACAGCCTCTACAACCACTTGAGCCATTTCCTTTATGTGGTTCGGTTTGTAT